TGGAAAAAGCGCAGACTTCCATCACAAGATGTAGCCTGGCTTAAAACAGCCAGAAATTAGTGGGAAACATGTTTTACATTCTAAATATAGCTTGTGCTGCTTTGTCACAGCGGAAAGCAGCTTCGCAGTAGCTGGCTTTGAAGCACAATTAACTAATTGTTATTGAACTAATCAGCATCGCTCCCGCAGCATTCCTGATGGCAGCATTCCTGATGGCACGGAGGTTCTGCTGCACAGGGGAAGCTCCTTTCCTTGCTCCCGCTGCTCTTACACAGGCAGTGTAAGAAAATGGCCAATAAACACCAAACATTTTTCTCTCGTGCTGCTTTTCCTTCATGCGAGGGAGTGACTGCAAACATCTGGAGATCCACCTTTTTGGTCTTGGAGGTACCATCCTTGCATTCCTTCTCTATGCCCTTATTGCAGGAAAGCCCTTTGTGTTCCACTTTGCCTGTTCTGCAGATCAGTCTCACTGTTTTATCTCGTGACCTTCTGTTTGTTGTGTTGTGTTTGGCTTTTGAATCCACTTAACTGTTGCTTATCTACTTGAGGGCAGTGGCCACAGCTGAAGAAGAAACAATCTGTTCTCCGTGCCACTGCAGGGATATAACTTAAATACACTGAGGATGGTTTAGGTTAGGCATCAAAAAATAATAATTACGAGAGTTATTTTATGAGTTACTGTTATGTATTTTATGTATATCTCTAATTTATTTTTATTTTTAAAATAGCAGTATTATTCATGTCCCTGTTTTAAGAGTTCTTAAAATAGAGATATGCTGGCAGAGCCTGTGTGGGAATGGCAGGGCAATCTGGAAAGTCAGTGATGGAAATGACATGAACATCTGACCAGCAAGTTGATCCTGGTGTGACACAGGAGGGTGATGTCTGAGCCCTCTCCAAACCCTTCCCAGCCCTATTTTCCAGGGCTGTGTGTGCCAGGAACCAGTGAGTAAACTTTGGAGGCACTGGTGTGCAAGATTTAACCATCAGCACATGCTCCAGTGAATGTTGCTGTGCCTTCTCCCTGTTTTTACTCACTAGTTTGATAACATTACAGCTGATACTCAGAGCGTGCTGCAAACACTCCTCCGTTGTAATGTGGAGACGTACAGATTAGAGGATTTTGGGGCCTGGAGCTGTCTCTTTGTTCTGTGTTTATGCAACACATTGTGCAATGAGATTCTGGCCTTTAGGTGCTAACACCAAAATGCAAATATATCGATTACTAGGGAGTAAAGGCAGATATGTTCACCAAGGCATGCTTTGATGAACTGAGGGAAAGGCTTGCTGGATAGAAAAGGATCAGAGGTCTTTACAAAACAGAAATTCTCTTGGGATTGTTTGGGATCAAGGTGATGCTCAGGAAATCTTCAGCCTCTTTCACTGCATTTTTCTCCTCGTTTTTGGCCTGCATGTTTATTCAAATGGCATGTGAGCATCAGGGAATCTTGTCCCAGACTTGTCCGTGAATTTCCTGGCATAATACTGGCATTACAGAAACAATTAGAAAACCAGTAGAGGAGAAATCCTGTGCTACCCAGAAACTGGAGCAGATATAAGAGCAGCAAGGAATGCTTCACAAAACTAGTTATTAAGTTTACCCAATGAATCACAAGGATTTGTAGCCTACCTGTGCCACAGAGCATCGTGGTGACTGTCACTGAGAAAAGGAATAGTAGTTTCATATTGATGAAAAGCTCTCAGTGCCACACAGCCCAGAGAGAAAATATCCCAAGTGAGAAGAGCTGAGGTGAACCCTCTGCAGTGCACGGAGCTCTGGAGCAGGCAGGCCACCAGGGATTTTAAACACCTTCTCTTTAAAGGTTATAAGCATTTGCAAGCTCAGATTGCCTGCAGTGAGAGCAGAGGCTCCTCGGTATGGCTGGAAAATGAGGGCAGTGATATGTTTGAATGTGGATTTAGATGTGTAACTTTATTTATGGGCTCATTTTGACACTCTCACCACGTTTCTAGATAGATTTGTTGTCTTTATGTGATCCTGCCAACATCAGCCCAGCACATATTTGTTATTATTTTTTACTAATTACTGTACAACCTGCTCAGTCTTTCTCCTTACGTTTTGGCTGAGAGAGAGTTTCAAGGAGAGAATCTCAAAGGTAAATTGAAATCAGATAAGAAAAGAGATGTTTACAAATATCTGCCTGAGATTTCAAGGCAGGGTACGTGCACCGAATTAGACTTCGTGAATGCATAGATATTATTTTCAGAGAGAGTGAAATGCTTTTCCCCTGCCAAGAGCTGTGTTTGGACCCTCAGGGGTCTGTGTCGCTCCTGCTATAGTTGATAATGTCACTGACACCTAAAGCAGTGTGAGGAATGCAGCTTTAACCTTGCTTTTTATGTATTGGAGATTTCAACAGCCATGAAAAATTTCGAGCTCAGTAATCTCAAACTGCATTCCTAGAAGGTAAAAACCTTTTGAATTCACCTTTAAAATGCACTTGCTTTTATTGGCACAGGCTGTCCATATATTCAGGGAATGGTTTAGGATTGCAAACAGGTAGGGTCTTTAGGGATGGGTTTCCTTCTTTTTGAAGAATTTCATTTCACCCTTAATGGGACGTGCTGTCTGCACAGAGCCACATCAAGCGGCAGCAGCACTTTTCTGCTGTCCCTTGCTGTCAACAAGAAATCTGTGCTTAGAAGAGGAGGGACACATCAGCCTTTGAAAGTTGAACAGAGGGACAGACTCAAAGGGCACAAAACCAAACAATTTGCATCTCGTGGAGGCTCTGGGGTAGCGAAGAGAAATGTCTTTTTCCACACTGTATTTTCTTTTCTTCCTCCCATCAAATTTTCTGCCGCCTTGCCAGCAAAAGTGCAGCTCCAGCAGCAAACATGTCAGTGCAGAGTTATCCCTGGCAGTTTTTAACCACTGTGTTTCTCAGATGTGCTCCAGGAAGGGTTTGAGAAAGAGCATTGTTTTTCTGGCAGTGGGTCGCACACGCCATCTCTTCTGATGGTCACATCTCGGAAGCAGTGTTTGTTCCAGGCTGGCACATGGCATCCAAACAAAAATGCTCTTGTAGGTGCTGCTTCAGACTTGGGTGTTGAGAGCACTTTGAAGCTGTCAGCTCAGGACAGACAGTAGTGTCAGTCCTTAGAAAGAAAATACACTGCTGAAGCGATCCATTTTCTTCTGTGATTGTACATATTCCTGTTTCCCTGAGCGTGTCATCTTACAAATCTCCCAGATGTGTCTCAGGTTTGTGCTCTGTGATCAGTTCGGCCTCACGCTATGGTTTGTGCTGTGAAAGTCTCAAAATATTGAGGTTTTTGGTCCTTAGCAGCACTCAGTTGCACTGAGGGCATCCAGCCAGCCAGCTGCTGCTGCCTGTGCTCCTCCACCGAGCACTGAAGGCAGGGCAGCAATTAGATAAGTGCACCCCTGGGAACAAGCTGCGCTTTACTGATGGTCACTGTCACCTCATGCATTCACCATCCAGCCAAAAAGGAAACAAAAAAAAAAAAATATAATAAACAAATAGTTTTAATGGAGCCCTGGGATAAAGGCTATTTTCAATTTTACCTTCCACGTTTTAATTGTATAGCGATAATTTTGCAATGGAGTTGCCGATGGCAAACATGCAAAAGACATTAACTTTATTTATGTTTTGGATTATTAATGTGGCTGTTAAAATTCCTCCAGTTAGTTTTGATTGAATTGTTTTTTTGTGCGATTCTGTCGTTTAATGGAGCGGTAAATAAGAATTTCTGATAATGAGCCCAAGCATCTGTCACAACAACCTGGCGCTGGTTATTAACATTTCCATTAACGGCAGGGTGGGCAGTGATAATATGGAAACCACACAGTTAGAACAAAATAAATAGTTGGTGTCAGGCTGAGTGGGTGTTAATTACTTTTTTATTTTATAACTCTGGGGGGAGGGAGTATTGGTGGAAAAGTGTGACTTATGAAGGTCATTCTCTCTTAAGAAAGAAGTCTCCAGAGGGACAGCTAACCGGGGCTATCCAGCTCGAGTGGTGAATATTTTATCACTTCTATTTATGGCCCATAAAGGGACAGAGAGAAAAGAGACAACTCTCTCAGGTGGGCAGAGTGAGGGCTATGGCACCGTGAACATGGAGAAGGGAGGAGTGTACCCTTTGCCCTGCCTTTCTCTCCCTACTTCTGGAGTTTGAACAGGACACGCTTCGGCACCTTTTCTGTGAACAGAATGTGAGCTGTTCTGTTAAAACCTGCCGGAGGCAGAGACAGCAGGTCAGGAAAACAGAGCATCCTCTCTAGCCACTGGGGAGGAAAATCCACCTGCACCAAGTTGGAGCCTGACAAAGGGAAGGATGGAGTGACCCAGGTGCACTCAAAGATTAGTTTTTTTAGCACAGCACAATGCAAAGAATGCCATCAGGAGCCAAAGTGAGCCAGCATGTGCATGTGGAGGTGTAATCAAAGCAGAGCTAACAAGCAGCAAACTAAAAGTCTTTTTGTCATACATAAAATACTAGTGAGTTGATTAGTGTCTGACTGGGTTTGGAGGTAATATTAGGCAGTATTTTGGCCCTAAGTCCTGGAGCCTTGGGAGCAAGTTGTTGTAAGAGCTGCTGCTGAGAGGGAGCCCAGGGTGATGGTGACAGGGAATCCTTGCTCACGGTGACTTGCAGGAGCGGCCGATCAGGAGCATCAGCCACTGACAAAGGCAAGCCCCAAACAGTACCAGAGAACCAAGACAAAATTCTCCTTTCTTTTCCAAAGCTGCTGGCAGGACTGAATTGATTCAGTGTCTAACTCAGCCTGCATGGAACAGAACACAACCACATCCCGAGGCTCAGCTGCTCCTCACTCCACGTGTGCTGAGACATGCCGGTGATTCAGATACCCTGGGGCTGGCTCCCTGTGCTGACTTGTGGCATAAACAGAGTCTGTCCTGGGTCCTTCTGCAAATAGAAAACTGCAGCCTGGATATGAACTAGTTCTGCTTGTCACTATTAATTCTTCTGCCCTCCTTTGTCTCTAGCACCGGCGCTGGCCCCACAGAACATCCAAGTAAACTCCCTTTCTGCAAGCCAGCTGGAGCTCACCTGGGACCCCCCTCCTGCCGACAGCCAAAATGGGAACATCCAAGGCTACAAGGCAATCCTCCTGTTTCTACTGTTTTCATTTGTCTTGCTTGGCATTGCTATTTACTTGTGAGATAGCTCTACAAACTGCAGTTGCCCTCGCCGCATAAGGCAAATTAAAACAGCATTCAGACTGCAGTACAGAAACAGCACTAAGTCCCTAAACCAAAAGAAAGAGAATGAGATTGGGAGGGGGAGAGGAGAGAAAAGGGAAAATGTGTTGTTATTTATGGACAAATAGAGCATGGGGAAACAGGGCATGCAGATAAGGAGGTAGCTCCACTTATGCAGGCAACATATCTGCTCCAAAAAGCAACACAGACACATAAGAGCTGGGGGCAAGGAATGTATTGAAGAAAATTAACTGAGCTTTCTAGCTATCAAATGGTACAAGCCTTTAGGAAGAGCAGAACTTTCTCCCAGCTAGAAGCTTGAGCCAGATCAGATTTTGGAAGAATTACTTCATTTCCTTAACTCTAACAAAATTAAGTCGGAGTATTAATTGCATTTGGTTCATAGGAGATGAGCACGTTGCAGAGGCACGTTGCTCAGCATCTCCAGCATGAGAATGGACCCTCAGAGAGTGGAAATGGGCAAGTCTACAAACACTGGAGCTTGGCTTGGGTTCAGTGTCTGGCTCTGCCTCTCTCCATGAATTTAGATCCATAAGTGAAGGAAAGCCAAGCCAATGTGAATAATCTGGCATCCCTTCTTGGCAGTAACAAGCATCCTTATATATCAATTCCTGTCCTTTCCCTTTTGTACATATATAGATGGCTTTAGCAGCTTGGCTTGGAGAGCCAAGGTGGAGTCTTGCCTTGGCTTGTTCTCTCGACTCTCTAGCTTGCTTTGGCCTGTTGTAAGGCTCTCGCTGCCAGGCCTGTCCAATAAGTAGGGCTGGCACCACTTTTCCTCTTGGAAACAACTTCTCCAAAGCCTAATTTTACAGGACCGGGATAAAAATTATGTAAGGGAAGCATGGGGGAAAGCACCTCAAGGAGCTTTAGGGAAAAACTTTATTACCCTCTTCAGGGAGGCATTTGCCTGGCTGTCCTGTGAACACCAGAGATGTAACCATTGTGTGTGTACAGAGGTGAGCTGTGGACCATTGTATCAGGATGCCAGTGGTGACAGGCAGCTTGCATTGCAGGGAGAATTTAAAACTGACCTCTCCTCGCTGAACTCTGGCAGCTCATATCTGCTGTCACTAGGCCATATTCTTCAGCCTGTGCTCTATTTTTGAGTGATGTACTCAGCTGCATGGTCTCTGGACTCAGGGGAATTTGCCAAAGGGAAAGGTTTGGCACATGCTGAAAAACCTTAGTATCCTATTTAACAGAGGAGTCCAGAGCAAGGCTTGCACCATCTTCCTGGTCTTTTATAGCTGCAATGCCCAGATATTTTCTAGGTGTAGGATATACTAGAACATTTGATAGGATGAGAGGAAATGGCCTCAAGTTGTGCCAGGGGAGGTTTAGATTAGATAATTAGGAAAAATCTCTTCACTGAAGGAGTAGTTAGACATTGGAACAGGCTGCCCTGGGAAGTGGTGGAATTGCCATCCCTGGAAGTATTCAGAGTGTTGACGTGGCACTTGGGGCCATGGTTTAGTGGTGAACACTGTGAGGCTGGGTTCATGGTTCGGCTCATGATCTTAGGGGGCTTTTCCAACCTTAGTGATTCTCTCTTACTGTCCCAACAGATTTATTACTGGGAGAGCGACACCCAGAATGACACGGAGAAAGTGAAGGTCCTTTTCCTCCCGGAGACAACGGTCCGGCTGAAGAACCTGACGAGCCACACACGGTACATGGTCTGCATCTCCGCCTTCAACGCCGCCGGGGACGGCCCCCGGAGCAGCCCCTCGCAGGGCAGGACGCACCAGGCGGGTACGGGAGCGCTGTCCTGTCCCACAGCTCAGACCTGGGGATGACCAGTATGGACCTGGGCAGTGGCCAAGGGAAATGGGGGGATGCAGAAGGGTACCGGTGTTTGGGTTTACGTTGTGATGGTCTTGAAGGGCGGGGAAAAAAGCATCCAATAAGTGGAGTGTGTGGAAAGGGAGGGATAGAACAGAAGTGAGAACGGAGTGGCAGAAGGACCAGTCCCTTCACAAGCTGGCCTAGAAGGAACCAGTCGGTGGGACTGTTTCTGGTTTCTGCTATCATACCTGGAAATGCCAAGGAACTGATCTCCAGTGCCTGGAAGTTGCCCAGACATTCCTGTGAGATGATTAGCATGCTTTTTAGAATTCCTTCCTATTGTTTTTAAAACTGGATCAGCAGCCACCCAATCAGGCTGAGCAGTGCCTGTGCTGGACATTCTGTGGAGGGAGTGCTCTGCTGCAGGGTAAAGGCAATGCCCTTGGTGGTGGCTGTGAAGAGGAGCTGTGTGCTCAGTCTCTGTGCTCTCATAGCACACTTCTGAGGGTCCTTCCCTTCTGTGTCCTATCTCCTTGTTTGCTTTCAGTTTTGCAGCTGAGTGCCTGTGTTTTTAGGACAGGCTGGGTTTCTGACTGATTACGGGACATTTGTAGACAATTGATAAATCCCGTTCTCAGTTTGTTTCCTTTAGATTTAGGCTGGGCAAACAAACCAATGTTTTATAATATATATGTATATCAGCTTGACTACTTCTCCTGCAATTCAATCTGTGTGTAATCCTTTCAGCACCCAGTGCTCCCAGCTTCTTGGCGTTCTCTGAAATCACTTGCACTACACTCAATGTGTCTTGGGGCGAGCCGACAGCAGCAAATGGAGTCCTGCAGGGTTATCGAGTAGTCTATGAGCCTCTGGCTCCCGTCCAGGGTAAGAAAGACCTCTGATCATACATATTCATGGAGAAGTGACAGAATAGTACTGTAGTATCTTTCATCTCTGCCCAATTTCCCACTTGCTCTCTGCCGTTTTCCAAGGGAAGCCAGGTGGCAAAGGGTAAGTAAAACAATTCCACTTTTGCCAAAACCGTTCAGCGAGCCATAATACTGTGGAATACGGCTTTTGTCTGTCCCCTCTCATTTTCTTGCACAAACTATAGTCTGTGTGATTTGAAAAGTCATTTTATGGCCGTCATTACCTGGTCTGGGCGAAGAGGAGGCTCAGCCTGAGAGTCCCTGATTGTCTCCCCGCGTCGCGCTTTGAAACTGCTGAGTAGGCTCCATCCCAGAATAGTCATCAGACACGTTTGTATTGCTTATCACATCGTGTGTCACTTCTGTTATCACAGAGATTGCCTGGGCATCGAGTGTGCTCGTCGTCACTGGCACTGCTGCTGGCTGACAGGGGAGGGTGGCTGCTGTGGGGATGTAGATGTGTCTTTACAAAGAGTTTCTGAGCAGTATTTTCAACCCAGCACTGGATTTTAAGTTAGACCACCACAGCGTGCTGGCCACAAATGTTTGGTTAATTTGCCAGAGCAGCAACAGAGAAGGATTTGGCAATACCCCTGAAAGCAAATGTAAATTCACTCCAAAGGTGAATTAGAAAAGATGACAAAGTTTGTGGATGGTCTTATTAATATTTTTATATTCCTGGTAGATTGCCAATCATTCAATAGGATGTCCAGCTTTGGCGGGGTGACAGCAGGGAGCGTAATTTCAGCCATTGTCAATCCATTTTAAACTCTTTTCCAAAGAAATAAGGATATCAATCACTTGTATTTGCTTTTCCTGTAAGGAATTATGATCTGTACTGTCTGAATATCCATGTCTCATGCACAGAGAAAGTTTTATGGAGGATTGAAAACACAAGAATAAAAGCACTGTCAGCCTTTACGGTTGGCAGGTCTGAGCACAAAGAGCTAATGCAGAAAGCATTTCTAATTCTGACCAAGAAATGTGCACAGGGTATGCAGGAGGTTGGGGCTGTTTGGGCATTTCCAGCCTTTTATTCATTCCTATACAATGTTTAAGAATACATTTTTTCCCCTGAAAATATGGATGTGTCAGATCATGTTTTGTCTTCATGCATTTGACTTAACATCCTCAGAATCTTTGTTTTCCTTTCTTCTCTTCCCCACTTCTGCTTGTGCTGCCTCTGACTCCAGCTTGTCTCTCCTTCTCCTGATGTGAGCAGGGAGGTTATGGAGGGCTCTTCCTCAGATTGGAAATTTTTGCTTAAATTTATTTTCCAGTCTCTACCCATTTGCTCCTGTGACAACATTTTTCTTTCAGCAACTATATTTATTCTCCTGTCATGATAAGGAATCCCTCCCTTGATGCCATCATTTTCCTCTGATAGAAAAGCCATACTCCTTCATTTAGAGAGCAAAGTAGAGCCAAATTTGAAGATGGAGCAGGTGACAGTGCCGAATACAGCACAAGGCTTGTGGGGCCAGCACTGATGTATCCTGTGATCCCAGAGGATCATTCCAGCCCCAGGTCTCACATTCCTCCATACCAGCACCACAGTGCAACAATAAGGATGGACCAGACCCTCTGAAGCCTTTTCCTGCATCTTGTGACTTTCCAGTCATTCATGATTTTTGGCTGAGCATCCTTGTCATGGTGACCCTCTTGCCATCCCACTCCCCCTCCCAACATTTACCTGCCCGTTTTTTCAGGCTTTCCAACAGCAACCTGTTCTTTAGCACAGTTTTCTCCCTGTTTGACCTTTTATTGTTTAAGCTTTACACTGTTATGTTTTACACAATAATAGACAACAGAATTGCCCTGGAGCCTTTTTTAACAGTTCTTTTTTTTTTTTTTTTTGAACATAACTTCAAACTGACAAATGCCTCCTGATTTGTCTCAGAGAAATGAAATAGTTCACCTAGAGAAGGAGCGGGCACTTTTACTGCTTCCTCGTTAGCCAAGGAAAGATTCCCTGAGTTATAAATTGTATCTGGGAGAAAACTTGGAACAGAAATCGCTTAGACATTATTCTTTAATTAACTGGTAAAAACTGAAAGCATCATCTTGATTTGCATAAAATAAGCATCTGGATTGAAAAACATCTTCCTTCTGCATTTTTCTGGAAAAATAAACTAGCAAGCAGCCATTTCTAGCATGAAAATCCTTCTCCCCCTTCCTTCCTTCTTGGTTTGAAATTAGTTATGTACATCTACAGAACCAGAAAAATGCCAAAAGGACTCTCTAATTTGAACCTTCTGTTCTGTAAAATACTTTATAAATCAACTTCTTTGCCTTGAGTTACTTGTAGAAAATTTCAGTGAAAACTAGATTTTTTTTTTCTTTCAAAGCACTCATTGTCCCTCTGCCCTTTATGCAGCATTGAGAACCTAAAGGTGAAACTACTGTGCACCTTGATGAAGGAAACACCTCTGATTTTAATTCATCCCTGTAAGAAAAATTATGAGAGAATGAGAAGAGTGAAACACAAGTCACAACTCCAGCCTTCTTAAGATCGCAGTGCTTTGATTGCATCTCCTATTGTCGTGGCATTTGTAGCCCCCAGGTCCCTGTGAGGTGCACACATCCCTTATTCTGCATCCACGTGGTGATGGTGGACATGGCAGGATGAGGTGAATGGAACAAACCTGGCCCTTGTTTCCTCCTCCAGGCAGTGTTGCAGCTTATTTGGTGAAGCACCAATGGAGAAATGCTTGCTTAGGAAGCAGCCTGCAACGTGCACTCCTCTTCGTTTACCTCCCTCTTTCTTCCCGGAGTAATTAGTGAAGTTACATGTAGTCTCTTGGTAATTTCCCAGTTGTGTTGTAAGGTTTTTTCCTTGTCAGTACCCACTTATCAAGCTTAAACTCTAATTATACTTATCAGTGCTGAAAATTGGCTATTATCACTACTTAAACTCCTGCTAATTGTAAGAAATACTTTCTTAGCAAACTGTTAGATAATTTTACTTACCATCTAGATGTAATAAGCTCCACTTGATTTTCTATTTTGGCATTGCAGCCTTCTCTTATTTTTTTATCTGCGTGGCTGTTCCAGGGGTGAGCAAGGTGGTGACTGTGGACATTAAAGGGAACTGGCAGCGCTGGTTGAAGGTCCGTGATCTCACCAAGGGCATGACCTATTTATTCCGAGTGCAAGCCCGAACCATTGCCTATGGACCTGAACTTCAAGCCAACATCACAGCTGGGCCAGCAGAAGGTAAGTGGAACCATAAAAACAAGTCATAGGCCAGATCAGTTATACAAACCTAGGGGAATAGTGCACTCAGGGCTTCACAGGAATCTCAGCGCCAAGGAGAAGCTGAGTCACAAGAGCTCAGGATGTGATTCAGTGGGTTTCACAACTGCCCATGAAAAACATGTTTCATTTCTCCTGAAATCCGTAAGTCTGATGTGAATAAACAAAACACTGTAAATAAATCATAATGCAGACGGGGCTAGCCAGGGATTTCAGAGCAGCAGCCTGACAGCGCTGTGCATAATTCTGACTGTACTGCTCTGCGGTGGGAGTCAGAACTGGAATAACTGCCGGAACCAGCAGAGGTTCCTGGGTGTAAAACCAGAAAGAATTTACAATTATTCTCTCCTGACACGTTGGCTTATTCAGAGGAAGAGATCTGTGGATTTTTTGATGTGTCAAGAGCAGCTACAGGCTGTGCAGCAGCGCTGCCCGCTTGGGTCGGTGTCTGTACCCGAAGAGCTGGTTTTCTTATTTGATCAGTGATTTTGATAAACACATAATCTAACAAGGTAAATGCCCTCCAATGATACCAGCCTGTCAGGTGAGTCACAGAACATCAGTGCAGTGGTCACAGTTCCTATTTTTGGTTGTTTTCCACATCCACAGTCTAACTCTCACACCACACCACAGAGAGTACAAAGCAAGAGTATCTTCTGTGACCGTGGCGTCTTCCCAAGCCAGTGGGCAGTGGCTGTCCCCACAACCCTCTCCCTGAAACTCAGGAGGCTGATTTCACCTCTGAAGTCAGAAATAGCAGTGTCAATGTACAAAGTTTGTAATGCTAATGGGTAAAATGAAAGGCTTTTTTCCTCTTGCCTTCTTCAGACAGGTACCTTATTCTTGGGACTGTCTGTGTAGGACCAGGAGTTGGACTTCGATGATCCTAGTGAGTCCCTTCCAGCTCAGGATGTTCTAGGATACTGTGATTCCATGACCTGTACACCCCAGCCATTGATATTTAACTGCTGGTACTAGAACTAGTGAAAAAATTAGGACAGTAACATATTGAGCTGGTTTATGTTGCCTATTTGTTGACCAACATTGCTATATAATTTTTTCCCCTAAATCAGTAGAAGAAATTCATACTACAGTCTGTCTCCAATGCCACCCCCATTTGCTATTCTCTTTTCATCCTTCAGGGTCTCCTGGCTCCCCTCAGGAAATTTTGGTGACAAAATCTGCTTCTGGGCTCACGCTACGGTGGACTGAGGGAGATTCAGGAGAAAAACCCACGACTGGCTACATTATAGAGGCACGACCCTCAGGTAAGCCATGGGTAACACAGAGAGCTTGATATCATGAGTTCCCTTCCTTCAGTCCATGCTGGAAGCTATCTACATTGGAGAGGTTGTTTGTCATCCCAGTAAGGTAATGGGATTTTGTGAGAGAACGTGTTTCCAGACACTATTAAGCTGTTACTGGTTTATTATGTGGTTTAGCATATTTTCTCCTCTTTAGGAGCAGTCACAGAAAATTACCCCGACTGCTCTGGCTTTCACTGTGCTACATCACTGGAAAATCATCCAACAGATGAACTAATATAGTTAATAATTAAAAGTAATTTAAATGCTTACAGCATCTTTCATGCACAAGGACTAATAAGTATTTGCAAGCTGTATTTTGAGGACCACAGATAGAAATCTGTCCTCTTCTGCAGCAGAGCACAGCAGCTAATTACTGTTTTACTGTTAATAATGGGGCCAGGACTTCAGCACTGTGAACACACTGCTTCCCCCATTTGTTCTGCAGGGAGGGCATTGAGTGGGGGGGGAAGGAATCCCCTATCACCACAGCTTTTCTTGGTGCTTTCCCAGAGCTCCTTTGCTTGTGGGATTTTCATCTTACTGAAGCTGTTCTCTCCTTTTTGTGGAATATTTCCCCACTTGGACAAGGTAATTTTAAAAGTCTGCGTGTGCTCCAGCCTGTTCGCAGCCTCTCCCAGCTTGGTACCCCTTGCAAGTTCAATAAGCACACACTTTCTGGTAACTGAGTCATTAAGGAAAGCCAGTGAGTGCTGCCAGACCCCTGTGTAATCTCACTTGATAACTTCCCTGCACTCTGACAGTGAATGTTGATAACCCTTCTCCGGGTACAGTTTTCCAGCTGGTGATGCATCTACCAGATACTCGTTTCACGTGGGACGTGTTTGAATGTCACCAAGTCAAAAGCTTTGCTGAAGTCAGGATAGATGATGTCTGCTCTTTCTCCTCTATTGACAGGGTCTGCTACTCTGTCACAGAAGGAAATTAGACATGATTTATACTTGACATATCCATGTTGGCTACTTGTTCTTTCTTTTTTTACTTCTAGGTGCTTGCACACTGCTTGATTATGTATTGATTAAAGGAATGCTTATCTGTTTGATTGTATAAAGGACCCTGTTTCTTATTTGTGTCTTGAATGTAAGGTTGCATTTAAAACCACTGATTCTAATTACATTTAACCAGACCAGTAACAAAAGTATTGCCTGCATTTCTGAGGTCATCCCTGAAGATGCAGATTTTCATACCTGTATCTGATAGGATTTTCTCTGTAGTGAGGCTCTGCTCTGACCCTAAAATTTCTTTCTTATTTCTGTCATTTAACTTGACAATTGCTTTCAAAACAAAATCAAGGGAAATGTGTACCTTCTCCTTGGAGTTTCCCAGAGTGATCAAGTTTTCTTTCAATTAGAGGCATGACACTGCTGTGCTTCTATTTCACTTACATCAGCTTTTTGATTTCTGTCCTTATTTCTTCATAGGTAGAAAATACTTTCTTATTTGAACAGCACTGTTTAGGTAACAATTTAAACCAAACCTGTTCATTGAAGTTCACTTACCAGCTTACATTTTCCTCAAACAGATTTTTGTGAGTAAGAGTATTTTAGGGGGAAACCTGCAGCCCACGTACAGATTGTCTGCAAGCTTGGAAATTCAACTCGTGTGAGTGGTGACATTGCAAACTCATCTGTTTGTCTCACCGTTGGACGTGAACAAACATTTCACAGTTCATGGCTAAGGATGTAGGATTTGTGGCCCACTCTTTTTGAGTAGGAAGAAAATAGTCCCTCCAAGGCAGGTCTGAGCTGCATTAACCCTGGGTCACTTCTGCTGGCCCCACTCCACTGATCCTGGAAACACACAGAAGAGGTCTTATTCTCCTGCTCTTGCAACCTGACTGTTGAGGCATTTAATTCCTCTTCAGATTATTTTAATCCTATTCATGCTGCTGTAGCAAATGAACTCGGCATTTGTATGCTGGATTCTCATCCTTCGTTCTGGTGCAGCTGTAGGAAGCGTGAAATGTGATCCAGGAGAGGAGACAGACTAATTGGAAGATTTGCTTATTCCACCCAAGCGTCGGCTTCCTCTCTGTGCTGCTTTTCTTCCTCATCTTTGCACGGAAGACTTTGAAATCTGAATTATGGGCTTAACAAAAGCAGGGAACTAATTCCTCCTGTCAGGGCTGGTCATTCAGAGCAGCTCCTGTTTCAGTATCGTTCTAATAGCATGTTGATTTATAGGGGTAATAGAGTGTGGATTGGAGCAACCTTTGTTTTTAAGGAGTTGTTGTCCAAAAGAGCAGTTGACTTGTACCCTTCACATAAAATCAAGGGAGGAAAAGATACTCATCCTTCTGAGGTCAAAAAAGGGGCGTTGAGCCGACAGATGAAAAACCTTAGCTTGTTGCCAATATTTAAATGCAATACCACTACCTTAGTGTTTCACATCTCAAGTGTCATCTATTATAGGCCTCATTACCCCAAACGTTAAATGCTGTATCATCTCGTTTTCCCTGCCAAGACTCTTCCATCAGAGTAGGAGGGTGGCTTTCTGTCAGAAATGGCAAACCCTACTCCCTTTTGTCACTTCCCTTCAAGTTTTTCGGAGTCCTGCTGTGTCTCCCAGGGCTCTGCTGCCCTGCTGGGTTTAGCAATGGTGGCAGCAGGCAGCTGAGGCTGTTCATTTGATTTCCCTGTTTCTCTGCTGGGTTTATGGAAGGTGACCAGGCTCACTACCTCCTCTGCATTTTGAGTATACTCAGGCACGGGGATGAAGCAGGCGAACCAATATTTTTTCTAGAGTGATCTGGGCTAGAGGAAGACATTACAGAAACAGAAGAGTTTTTCTTTTCCTTCAACTTCTCTGCCCCTGGAGAAATGGATTCCAGTTCAGCTCCTTGTGCATTACAAGAAATGCAATTAAGCAGCCTCTGTCTCTGCCATCGTAAGCGCTCCCTAGACATCAGCTAGGCTGGCTGAGGAATGGGTAATAGATCATGTCCTCAGCTCTTACGCAGAGGAAAAGACAGAAATGGCACAAAGATGTTAAAGTTCCTGGAAAGAATGCAGAATCTGGTTTCACCCCTCTTTTCCCAACCCTGGTCCACATCCAAAGCTCCTCTCGCTGTAGTGTACTTTAGTGGTGGGCACGTGGTCTGTAGAGTGCCAGCAGTCTCACGTAGACTTGCCTTCTCAATTATCCCCTGGATGGGTTTCTGTGTAATGCCCTGGGGATCCACAGTGCCAGGAGTGCACCTAGATATGTGCCTGTCCCCATGAGACCTTCATCCATGTATTGGCCTGCTGCAGTCATCTTCATCTGCAGGGCAGCTCTGGAGGTGTTCAGTCAATTTGCTTCATAGAATAATTTAGATTGGAAAAGACCTTTAGGATCATCAAGTCCAACTGTAAACTTAACACTGCCAAATCCACCACTAAACCACGTCCCTAAGTGCCACATCTTCATGGCTTGTGTCTGGGCAACCTGTGCCAGTGCCTTACCACCCTCACCACTCGCCAGTGCCAAGAATTTCTTCCTGACATCTAATCCATACCTGCCCTTTTTCAATGCGAAGCCATTCTCCCTTGTCCTGTCACTCCATGCCCTTGTAAAAAGTCCCTCTCCAGCTTCCAAGATGATCAGTTCCACGAAGGCAGCAGACATCTTGGAGAAGAACCCATCTACTTGGAGTGGGGATTGTCCGTCTCATAAATACTGGGTTTTGCTTCCCACGCCCTGAGGGCAGATCTCACTTCAGTTTTCCTTTCTGGTGTCTTGAGTAGTGTTTTTCTGTTTTCCTCCTTTTCTATTTATTTTTAACCAAATGGGGGAGCGCAGTGTCAAACATGGACACAAACCAGCACAAGTCAGTAAATTCAAAGTGAAGGGTGCAGCTGCATCGCCGGCATCTGCCACGGGGCCTTTTTCGCTTCTGCTGGCGAGTGACATGTCACGGCTGACAGTTTGTCAGCCTTCACTTCCCATTCTTGTCCTTCCACTAGTTTGCATGATAATCCAGCCCTTTGCCTCTGACAAACACAGCCAGGTTTTAATTGTGTCCTCTGTAGGAGGAACACCACTGGCGTTCAGCCGGGCCTTAACTCTCCGCAGCTTCTCCCCTCATAAACCTCCTAATGTGTAATTAAGACGGAGCTTTATGGCCAGGCTCTCCTCGTAGGCCGGAGGAGAGGGGAAGGCGGGTTTTTAAGACCCAAATAACTGACAGCTCTCCATCTCCCCCGCCGTGGGTTGTTAGTGGCTTGAGTTAGCAGAGCCAGGAGCCCTCGCCACTGACTGACAGTTTTATTTAGCATGGAGACCCTGATTAATGGCCTGTGCAGCCGGGCTGGCCCGCGGGGGCCGTGCATGGCTGCGGTCGGCAGCGCCGCTCCGACACGGAATGGTCGGCACCCAGCCAGGAGGGCTGGACCTTCTTTTAGGTCCGAGGTGGTTTCACCTTCCCCTGTCATTCAGATCTTTTCCCTATGCCTGTACCTCAAGAGCAGGTGGGACAAAGGTATCAAGGCCGGGAGGCGAAGATCAGACCGCCCCTCAGCAGGAATAAGGGCAGAGCTGGGGCTGGTGGAGCCTCGAGAGAAAGAAGCAGCAAGATAAAATTAATCTTTTTTTGAAGAGCCCTCCCTTTTCCATCACACATTTAGGTTTTTTTAAAGAGGCCAAGTGCCCAGTGAAAGGCAATGGAAAATGAAGATAGGGATTGATGTTACCAAAGGAGAAGCAAGGGCAGCCTCCCTTGAGCTGTTGCCTGGGACTGGCTGAGCCCTGCACGTCTTCACATGAGTCTGGTGTTGCAAACTTTGCTTTTTTCAGCAGTTTCTATGAGTTAATACCCAGCTGATGTCCCAGCCACAGCATGTGCATCTTTCATCCCTAAACTGAGTGGAAAATGCTGTGTGTGGTGCACTAATGATTTTCTCCTGAACTTAAAGACCAGTGTTTGCTATCACAGGTGACCTTCTAATGAATTCCCTTTCAGCTGAACTTCTAACATTTAGAGCACACCTAGTTTTGATGGTTGGGGGGAGAGATGCAGTGAATGCATTCAGTGTGTTCAATATTTAATCTTACAGTTCACCACTGGAATAAAGTGCTTTTTTAGTTTGGATATATCTGACTGTGATGCCCTTGTACAAAGAGGGGTCTGAACGTTCCAGATGGAGATAAGATGAATTAATTGAGGCTCTGGAATTAAAAATATTGTTGACCAGGACTTGGGAAGCCACATACTATGCTGTGCATAACATTGGCTTGGGGTCAGCAGTGTGGAAGATGTAGGACATCCCTTCTCCCAGGCTGCCACCTTGCAGACTTCTGACCACTGTAGCTGCATCAGCACTTTTCTGGGATCCCAAGGATAACAAGCTGGGTCACATTTAAAATCAAAGGGGAGTGGGCCAGAGAATACACAGCCACCAGCTGGAGCATCTCTGAGTCCCTGTGAGACAGAAATCCCTCTGAAGAAACATCACCAGGATCCTTTGCTGCCCCACAGGATCACCACCATAGCCAAAGGGACAGAGATGTGGAAATGCAACACTGACTTCTCAAGGGTGGTTTTCCCAACTTACTGCGAGCTTCACAGAGTGGTTAAATGTACACGTCTTGGTCTGTTGGATTTTCTGCACTGTGCACCCTGATAGGTTTGAGAAAATGAGTGAGAAAGTGCATGTCTGAACAGTTGTGTTTGTTGTAATGAGTGCTGAACATTCATTTTTATTGTTGCTTTTCTTCTTCCATTTAAGTGGCTTTCAATGCAAACAAATTGCTTTTCAGACAATTCACAATAGGCTCAAATTCTCTTATTGCTGTTTACAAATGTGTTTATGAAAGCTTAGGCAATTCTAGCAATTATGGCAATATTTTATAGTCATGAGATGCATCTCCCTAGTATCGGTGGTTGCAACAATCCAACTTTGAAAATGCATCCCTCACTTCACCCTCTTCAGAGAAACTAAATCCCAAGCTCCCTTTTTATTACACTGTAACTTTACATGGTAGAAATAATCTCGGCTTCTATTGCCCTGTAAAAGGGAAGTCAATATTTTATCTCTTGTTTTATAGCCATTGTAATACCCAGCTAATACATAACAATGGTACATTATGATAACTTCATTATACTCTGATCATGCTGGTGAATAATGTATTGGTCTGAATTTTAAGCATGGCAGGAAAATTACCTATTTTTATTGTTCTTTGTTTTTTTCTCAAATGCAGCTGGAACAATAACATTTCAGCCTGCTTTTTGCATCCGCTGAGACTGCCAATCCTCATGACCAGAAAAGAAGGAGTTTGGGGGTTGTTAGTCTTTGTGTGTGTCTCTAGACATGCAGCACGGTGCAAATTACTGAGCCAATACTTACTGATGCCAGAGTTAAAACATTCACATGGAAATGCACCTGCAGTGTTAATCAGTCCATCTTTGCTGCTATTCCCTGTTGCACAGGAGTAGGCTAAGGGCCAAATTTTGCTCTGTTACACCAGCACAGTTCTGGCATCGCTGCAGTGATTCCAATTAGTTTACACTCAGGTGAAGGCGAAGCAAATGAGAACAGATTCCTGCCTTAACACTGCAGCAGTGGAACAAGTTGCTGAGGATAGTGCTGCTGGCTCCTGCTTTATTGTTACCTTGATAACACCTCGAGCTACAGAAGTCCTACTGCTGCTCGAATCTCGCAGTGCAGAGGACTGTCTTTCAAAGCAGGCAGCTCCTGCGCTTGAGTCGTATCTATGCAGAGGTTATCATCCTATTCGCATAGCTGGGGGACATGCAGAGAAAAATAGACATTGCTGGAACGGCTTTGATAACTGAACGTAAGAGCCCAATGGGATGCTTGTGAGGTCAGGTCTGTAAGAGCTACGCTGGCGTTTGGCCCCACACATAGACAGCGACTCCATTTCCTCAGCGAAAATGCTGGGCACAAGTTGTTACTGGAAGGCAGTTTGGTTAGATTAATGTTTGATTCCTGCCCTCAAAATTATGGAGTGACATTTTTAATTATAGTTGGATTTGTTCTTACTGGTACCAGCATCCATCTTGTTGAAAGTCTGTTCCATTGTAGTCAAGTGAGTAGAAGGTTGTGGGAATGGATCAGGGATGGGAATGGTGCCTGGTCTGGATGTGCATCAGGATCGAAGTTATTAAGGCTGTTGAGAACGGAGATCAACCTAGTGAAACACTCCCATCAGAATGGCATTGTGCTTCTAACAACTTTGAGAGATTTATAATACAAAGAAAAACCTCATTCCTGTTTAAAAATGTACAGCACAGAGTGCAGCTCCAGCAGGCTCACTCTGCAGGCTGTGCCATGAGGAGAACATAACACTATTGATATCATGGAGCAAGCAGCACTCCAGTGACACCAGTCCCTCAGGCACCAGTTTACAAAAGCTTCCCAAAACTTCCATTAGTGCAAGCCTCACCTCTGCGCTTCCATAGCGAGGCCATTTTTGCAGTGTAAGAAGTAGGCAAAACCTTTGTGATCAGGACTCGCTAATGCAGCAGCTGCTTTGGGTTTACCTGCGCTGTCAAATGCCAGGCGTGCTGATGAGTGGCCTTACCTCCTGATCAGGAGGGGCCCAGATGGCTGGGCAGCTGCTCTGGCCAGCTCAGGTCACTGTGGGTGCTGCTGCTGATTTTAGAGGAGACCTCTTCCATCTGGGCTGTGATAAGACCCCATCATGAATAAATGCATTTACAGATGGGGCCTTGCAGGGCACTCTGACATTTGTGTGCATCACAGAGCAGCCTTCAGGTGAGTATGTCCACTGCCTGCAGTTCCATCACACAATTGATGACACCCTCTTCCAGTGAGCAGGAGGAAGTGCCAGGTCACACAGCTCATGCCATTTCTCTCCTTGCTGCTTTCCTAGATGAAGGACTCTGGGATATGTTTGTGAAGGACATCCCTCGCAGTGCCACCTCCTACACAGTCGGCCTGGACCAACTCAGACAGGGTGTCACCTATGAATTTCGGGTGGTGGCTGTCAACGAATTTGGCTATGGAGAGCCAAGTGTTCCCTCTGTGGCAGTATCAGGTAATCATGGATTTTTTTAAAAAAGTATCTTTTTCAGTGGAATTTCTTGAGGTTGGGAGAGAAAAGGGGAAAAAAGAAACAACCCAGATCCTCTAGTTGCAACAGATAATCAAGGGCAGCGTGTTTTCACTTGTTTCAGGATAAAAGTGGAGTGATGTGGTGGTGAGTCAAGGTTTGTAATTACAGTATGCTTTACTCTCAAGAGGAAAAATGCATGTGTGCCATTTTTAAGATTGACAAAGAAGCTACTCAGAGTGTTCATCTGTAAGATCTCTTGTCCTAAGACTAATTTACGCAGTCTAGAATTTGTTTGCTTTTTCTCCATTCCTAGTCTGTTGTGTTGTTTGCTCTGCTTTCTTCTTTTTTTTTCTCCAAGATTCTGGGATAAACATTTTCTATGTCATTTTCTCAAAAACATGAAGGAGTAGTTTCACAAAATTATTCCTGATAATCCTCTGTGCTGGCAGTTCCAGTCCAGTGTGATGCCTCCAGTCATCCTTCATCAGAACAGCTCATTGGTGATGCTTTTGGGCTCTTCCCACCCTTCCTGCCCTCTTGTGTTTATTCCCAGTAAACAGGGCTATGGCCTAAACATGCTTCCAAAATCCCTGTGAGCAGCCCAGAATTCTGGTTTTCTGAAAGAACTTCAATACCTGGAAAAGCAAATTCCCCTCAGCTTGCCAGGGCTGGGCAGGTGGAGTTCAGTGGCCTATGGTGAGGTGGGAGACCTTGACCTGGGGACGGCTTTGCTGGGTCTCCTCTCACCCTCCCAGCTGTGCTCCAGGTTGCTTTTGAGCAGCAGGTTTCACCCTTGCTGTGTCAGCAAAGACAAGGGGAATAAAAGAACCTGATAAAGCGGCTTTGTGATTCAAAATTCTGGAGAGTCCTGAGAACCTGGCAATGCTCCAGTATCTGGAGTGGCTTTTATCTCTTTGCTGCTCCAGTGAAAAGCATAAACACCATTCAAGAGCTACCCAGAAGGCAGGAGCAGCAAACGCTGCTATTGCCATCGTGGCTGCGTTTGTCCTGACACAATTAACCACTTAGCCCAGGAGAGCTTCCATGGATTTCAGTGTGAGTGCTACCCCAGCTTTTCTTCTTCAGGACAAGGGCATGGACAACCCACTTCAAACACCACGAGTCAGTGTTTTTCCTATCTGTGGTTTTGCAGAGGCTGTAACACAATGTAAAGGATCAGCAATCATGTCAGTCTTTCCTTTCCTGGAAGACATTATTCCCTCTGAAGCTGGGCATGCATCTCCTTGTGATGCTTTCTATAAATAAACTGCTTGTTTGTAAGATCTCCACTTGAACAGAACTATTTAATTCACCTCCTTTTGATGCTTCAGTGTTCCTCTCAAATTGCTGCATGAAAGTAAGAGGCTTCTGTTGAGATTCACAGTCATAAAAGTATAAAGCATTTTAGGCTGACCACTTCAGCTGGCACAGGGAGGTATAAATTGCCCTGAATCTGCTCAGCCCAGCATGGCTTGTGTAGTTTGCCTGTAGGATTTTATTGGCCTGGACTGGCCTCCTAGTGAAGAAGAAAAAGGGGCTGCTTTTCCCTGCTGTAGAATACCCAGTGATCTGGAACAAATTTAAGCTCATATTGTCAGGCTAACAACAGTCTTGTATGCAGATCCAGGCTCAGGACAGTCAGGGAAAGAGAGTGCCTGGGTTTGGTGCTACGAGGGGTTGACGTTGGTCTCCTGGCATTGCCCATTCCTGCCAGGTGGTGTTCCACCCTCTGGACTACAGGGGAATTATATACAACTGCTGGCTCATGCTCCAGCAGCTGCATTTTTTTCCCAAAGCCGAGGGAGCTCAAGAGAAGACAAAGAGAATGTCACTGCAAGAAAATAACAATACTTATTACTTTAAACCAAGATTGGCAAGATAACTCCAGAAAGGGGAAGTTAGTATCATTTTGTGTCTTAAATTGAGGTCAAATGGGGTGAAATGACCTGAGATTGCACAAAGTCCAGGCAACTGAATTGATACCCATGTGCTGCACATCAGGCTTGGCTGAGCGGATGGGAGGTGATAAAGAGCAGCAGTGAATGCTGGAAGTTGGAGTACTGAAAGACACTGAACCAAGTGTACTTTTTTGCCTGTCACTGGCTGTATTTTTCAAACAGCTACTGAGCAGCATTTTGGCAAGGCAAGCCTCTTGAAAATTGGACTAATCATGGGTCATGACAGATGTATTAGTGGTTCCTTTGACCCAGGGAGTACTAAGCATAACATGGTAGTCAAGACATGTAGGTATGCAGAGCTGTGAGAAGAAACCTACCTCTCTTCTCTTGGTGATAACTTCTTAGCTAAGGGATCCTGGAGCCCTGCTCCAGGTGTGTGAAAGGTGCTTGTAGAGATGGAACAGGTTTCCCAGAGAAGTTGTGGCTGCCCCATCCCTGGAAATGTCCAAGGCCAGGTTGGATGGGGCTTGGAGCAACCTGGGATAGTGGAAGGTGTCCCTGCCCATGGCAGGGGGTTGGAACTGGATGATCTTTACGGTCCCTTCCAATCTAAAGCATGCCATGATTCTGTGTTGGAGTTGTGATATGCTCCTGTTCTCTGCCATCTCAGAAGTGTCAGAAAGGCCCTCAGAAGTGCCCAGTAGACTATGTGACATCCTTTGAACACCTCTTTCTCCTGAGCACCATTATCAATGCATTGTTCACTGTGGGGAGGAAGAGAAAATTTTGAAGGGGCATAAAGAGGGAATGTAATTTGTTTTTTGCTCTTTCAGCACAAACAGAAGCCCCTTTCTATGAGGAGTGGTGGTTTCTGCTGGTGATGGCTCTCTCAAGCCTGATCCTCATCCTCCTGGTGGTGTTTGCATTGGTCCTGCATGGCCAGAGCAAGAAGTACAAGAACTGCAACGGAGGTAAGGCATCATCTCCATGCTGTGCACACACTCTCAAGAGTTGTGAGAATCGGAAATATCTTCCCTTTGAACCCCTGATTTCATCAGCATGGACTGTCTCTATTTTGTTTGGCAGAAGACTCAGATCTTTTTGCTATCTGATTTGGTAGAAATGGCTTTTCCCCATAATCACCACTGGATCAGGGGTTGGATACTCACCAGCCATGGGCTCAGACAGGACCCCATCTGGAAGTCCCAGGGACTGTAGCAAAAGCCAAGGACTCTGGGTCAAACACATGGCAAAAGACCACAAATAAGGAATCAGCTGAGACTTTGTTTAGCTTTGTCATCATTCCCTAATAGATGGGGAGAAGGATAAAGATTCTGCTTTTCTGTGGCTGCACCCAGTGCAGATATTCTAGATCTGTGTGTGTGAGGACTGTATCACAATTCCTGTATATTTAGAGTGCCCTGCATTCACATTCCTTCCCTAAGCCAAGCTGCATTTCCTGGGCTGGGGGCCAAGAAGCCAGGAGGTGTCTTGGTTAGACCTGTTAGACTTTAAGACAAAATGAACATCAAGCTTTGAATTTTCCTTTAGTTATGATTTTTACAGGTCTCCTTTCTTGAAAGGAAACAGGAGCTACCTGCTCTGTAACAGGAATGTTAAATAGTCCCCTTTCAAAAAGCCTAGTTCTTGAGCTCTGAAAATTGTTTTTACCTTTTCTTCTCCCTACATGATAAAGTCCTAGAAGGGTTGTTCACATGTGTATTTCTCTGATAGGCTCCTCCACCTACAGCAAGAATTGCTCTGGTGCCAGGAGGTGCCAGAAAAGGCACATTAATGAGTAGGATCGGGTGGATGGGTCTTTGCACTACCTGTTCTTAGGGATTAATGTAATGAAGTCTTCCAGGCAGTATTTAGTAATTCAGTCCCCAAGTGAAGATCTTCTCTTTCTTTGTAATTCACTTCTAACAAGTGTTAGAAAATCAGATTTCAGTCCCCTGAGATATGAGATGTATGAATACCATGGCATTTTACCGAGTTAATACTATTACATATTTGTATGCATAGCTCATAGGAAATCTCTCATCTTCTTAGTTTTGCTCTGTGTTTGGGGGACAGACATGAAAAGACGGGTCTGACCTGTACTGTCACAGACTTGTTCACAGACTTTTAATGCAGCACTGAAATTGGAGCCGAGGAAAAAGCACCTGCTTGCTACACAGTGGCAGCTTGTACCCAGCCCTTCTCCCTGGGACACGGGCTGAGCTCACACCTCTGGGATTACCGAGAAGGAACATGAGAGGGAACAAGCTCCTGCTGTATTTGATCACAGGAAATAATATACTTTGCTGTATTTTCCTTCTTCTTCCCATCCCGTCCTTGTTTCTGCCTTACACTGTCCACTGATTTCTCACATCTGTGTCTTATCCTTATTACAGCTTTGACATCTTTTTCACATTTGCTATCCACTTGCCCTTTTCTTGCTTTCTTTCCTGCCTTTTCTTTTTCTCTTTTCTTTTTCCCTTTTTTCTGCCTTTTTTAGTTTTACTTTCTCTTGTTTTGTTTCAGTCAGCATGAATGGGATTCACAGCACCTGATCTAGGACATCTTCAGTGGCCACCCAAATTAGTCACCTGGTTTCTATTTATAGTCAAAAGACACGAATAAGCACTTTTGGAGCACAGTTTATCTGTGCTATTTTACCTACCTCTGAATGAAATGCATCCATCCATTCATAAATCCTATTTATTCCCCTCTTTTGGCTCCCTCTGCCCCTTCACACTCCTGATACACTCCTTTCCTTCACTCTGTTCTTAGTTGCCAGTAAGAAAGGTGAAGAAAATTTCAAATAATTAAAACAGAAAGGACAAGTTACTTTCTGCAGTTCTATTTGGGGGGAAAGTGCCTTTGTTTCAGCTGAATCTTTCATTGCCTGGCTCTAGGTAAAACCATCTCCAATGTAGAAGAGTCAGTCACCCTGGATAACGGAGGCTTCACTGCTCTGGAGCTCAACAGCAGACACCTGAACATCAAGAGCACCTTCTCAAAGAAAAATGGAACCAGGTAAGAAGCTGGGAATGCCATGCTTTTGGAAATGGCTTTTTATGTAGCTTCAAGCAACTGTTAAATAGGCAAAGGGGAGAGACTGTTGTCTGGAGAATCTAAGGAGGACTAATGCCCAAGTCTCTGCCTCAGGCTGTGATTCTGGCTTCTAAGCATGATTTAATTGTGTCATTCCAGAGAAATGACAGCATCCCATACACTCAGTGTTGCATTTCCTAGGTCTCCTCCTCGCCCAAGCCCAGGGGGGCTGCACTACTCTGATGAGGACATCTGCAACAAGTACAATGGAGCTGTGCTGACCGAGGGCTTGGGCCTCAACGAGAAGCCCTTGGAAGTGTCGGAGTCAGAGGTAAGGATTTCCCTTTGCCTCACCAAATATTGCCCAGTCACTGCAGATAACCCTGCTGAATCCTGGCAAGTCTTTGAAGTCCCAGTCCCAGACCTGCACCATACTGGGTGGTCACTGTTTGCCTGTCTTAGGGCCTTTAAAATGTCCACCGGGCTGTTTTCATCACAAAAAAATTAAATTAAAATTAAAATATCTAAGGAAAGAATAACAAGCAGGACCCAGCCAGGGCAGATTCCAAACCTGGCCTTAGCAGATATTCAGTTTTCCAGGGTCAGGTAGAAAGATAAGTGCAGTCAGTCAGACTGTGTATGCTGACCTCTCTGGAAGGGACTGAACATCCTCTTCTGCCTGTGGGCTGCAAACTTGGAGCACTTTTGGGAAAAGGCATAGGCACTGAAAAATAACCAGCTACTGTCTGGATGAGGTTAAAGGTGCGATGAGTTTTGGATTGTTGCACTGACTGAAGTAGGAGCTGTGGTTTGAAGTTCACAGTGCCTGTTTTATAGACAGCTACAGCAAACCCCATGATTCAGAAGAGCAGTCTGAGCTGTGATAACCACTGCCTCAGTGACAGGGGGAGTCAGTGGGGAATGAGTAACTTGCCAGGGAGCACATGGCCCCATGGCTGTGAGAGCCCAGCATTCAGCTTTCTGGACACCCCAGCCTTATGCTCAGGTTGCCTTTAGACTCTGTTCTCCAAGGAAGGCGGGTGCGTGCCAGCATTATCCATCTGGCTGTGCTCCCTCTTGTGTCCCATATTCCCTGGAAGAAGGAACAAAATGCTTCTTGTCTGTGAAAGTCCAACAGTGGCCAGGGGTGAATAGACAGACTTCAAAGGATATCCAGAAAGGTAAATCTGTCTCTAAAATCACACGTTGTCAGCTGAGATCCTGACGAATCTGAACTGACGGCGCAAGAAGCGAGCAGTGGGCCAAACCACTCCAAACGTGACCCTTCTAGCAAGAATAAATCAAGAGCAGCAAGTAGTGAAAGAAGATGACAGTTTTCATCTGTAGTTTTTCTGCACCTGCAGCTACAGCTGCTTTTCCTGGCTACCTAGCTCTCACCTCCTGCTAATTACCACAGACAGCCTGCTGCTTTGTGCTGCCCTGTGGCCGACCCGTCATGAAGGCAGCTTTCCTTGGTGGAGCTCAAGCTGCTGTCTCTGCAATGCACAAGCATTACCCTCCAGATTAAACCCATAGAGCTTTGGTCATGTCACTGTAACAGCCCAGCATTAAACCTGTCATTAAAACAGTTTGCTGAGCATGGTCGTGAATTTAGCACCGGCACCTTTTGACATTAATTTCAATGTCCCATGTGGTATTTCCTGGTAATGTGCAAAAGTCTCCTTGCAGGGTGTCATTATGCCTCCTATGTGCACTGTTTGTACAGCAGAGAAGGAAGTGATTTGGGTGGTTTTCTTCTCAGGCTATTATTAATATTGTTTATTTACTGTGAGTTGCTGTTGAGCCTGAAGGTCTCAGTTGAGACTCTGGTGGTTTTTTGAATCTGGGTGTGCATGTGAGAATGTGCACAAAATATGCCTCCTGTTTTTCCTTGGGGCTTAGATATGCAGCCTGTCTGTGTAATGTCTTTGATGCTGGTTTTTTTGTGGTGGGGAGTGCTTTTAGTCATGAAATGTTAATATGCTCCCAGTAGAGGTAGCAATAGGAGATGCTGCCTTTTGATCAGCCTGAAAATGCTGTTTATATTGGTGGGTACAGACAGGAGGTGAGGGTGGGTTGGGGCAGAGGTGGGTACAGATGATTGACCACTCTCTTTTCAAGTGTTCCTGTACCTATTAGCTCTTCCTGTTTGTCTTTTATTTTCTTTTTGTTTCTGTTCTCAAAGGAGATCGTAACAGACAAGCTCTGGTTTCTGAGAGTTCCAGAATTTCCATCTCTCCTAGCAGGCAGAAATGTTTGCCTTTATATGAAGAGTTAAAGATAATCTTTTTATATAAGAGCTCTACCTAGTTTTGGTCCTCTGCAACAAAGGGTGCTGATGCTGTTTTCTTCTAAAACATCTGTGCATGGTTCTCAAATTCCATTTAATATGATGCACATTAGGGCAGGCAGGGCCAAAAACTGTGCTTTTGCTTTCAATCCACATGTCATCGTCATGCTTAGTCTTACTCCTCTTGCCTGAGGTGTCAAGAATTTTTATGGAAAAGAAAGAAGTTCACTGGCTTCAAGTCACATGGGGTTTACTGAACATGAAGAAGTCTGTGAGAAACTCTTAGTCTGACTGACTGCACTTAAAACACAGCTGCCTGGGAGCGTTCCTCCTGAAGAGGAGAGCCAGAGAGAAACACTGAGGAAATCAAGTAGGACTCTTAATATTCATAAATCAAGTGGTTAACTTACTCCATGTCATGAAAGCCAAGCACCAGTACTGTTAATGAGGTTAAAGAAGTTTAATTGGCAGGTATGGAGCAAGAGACTGCTATGAGTGGAATTTCTAAGTGATTAATAATAATAGGCTTTTAGTTAATGAGTCAAGTGGACAAGGCCCTGGACAGATAATCTGAAGAAATTTGGTGTTCACCATGTACAAAAATTTGATGATATATCTGCAATGTCATCCAGCCATGGAAGAGTAGTTTTGCAGAAGGAGAGGGGAAGGTGCTGCATGTTTGTGTGTTCTCATGTGTCCTCATGGTCTCCCAAAAACTGTTTCCAGGAGAAAATATTCTCACAGGTCACACAGGTTATCAGTCAGGGCAGAATGCTGGCGATGCTCTGGTGTTCCCACTGCTCTCTGCAGTCTAAATGGCTTTTGCTTTCTCAGCTCTGTAGGAAGATATTTTAAATTTCCACTTAACACTTCACAGGGAATACGGTTTAACTTGTTTCCAGTAAAGTTCTCCAGCGATTTTGACAAGTTGAGCACCATGTAGGAACCAGCTGCAGGTGACACATTAAATAAGCAGGGGCTCCTGTGTCCAGAGAAATCTTTTTGCATATTAGGTTACCTTATCTCTTTTACAGCATATTAATTTCAGGTCAACCAAAAGAAACTGCTGCCATCTACATTTTTAGAAGTAATCTGATAAGATTGTTTCTTTTGCAGTCACTTTAAAAAGTATATTTTGAACTAAGGCAGCCAACTCTGGTCGCTGACTTGCCTCTGAAGAGCACTTGTGCATTTTGTGCTATCAATAATATACCTGAATAGCCTCTCATTTTCTGTATTTGTTGTTTCATAGCCATCCTTTTACCTTTGGTTGACAGTCTGTAATGTCATCGAACACCCAATCACGTTCCAGCCCATGGAGGTTTCCAAGGTAACACAGCCACAGTCACATGGAAAGGAGGAAACAGAAAACAAAGCAAAAAGCCCTGCAGCATTTCTATTTACTCAATAGTTTAAAAACCACTAAAAAGTAATCCTCTAGCATAAGCTGACTGTATTGTCATGCTAAACAGGTTTATCTGGCTTCTCCTTGATTTTCATCGAGGCTGTGGAACGGCAATTCCTTGCTGATAAGGGTAGTTATTGGAGTATTGCTCGGAGCAGACCTTAGAAGATACTTCAGAAACATGGACAGAATGGACAGTTCCTGCCTATTCTGAAGGAAACACAGAGAAAACATGTTGTATCAACACTAACAAGGCAGGTTATCCTTTCCAGCATCAGTGCTAATGATGGTGAAAGGGCTGAAATTAGTGCAGCTATATATGTTTTATGAGACTTGCTTCTGAAAGGCACTGCCCTTATTTACACCAAATTAGTGTTTCCTTTCAGTTGGTATAATGGACTAATTAGTGGACAAATTATCAGCAGGTGGTATTGGTTTTAAATTCCTTCTTTCAGTTCATGGCACATCCAGGTGTCACCGTATTTCAAAAGGCAGCAGCCCATCTAAAAGCGTTCCAAGTATTTCTCGTCTTTATTATGTTGACTTCTGGCAGTCTTGAAAGAACTTGGCTTAGGTACAGAAATTATATTAGTTTTGTGGGTGAGTGTTTTTCTGCAAGCAGTGGACAGCAATCAAGTGTCTGCATCAGTACTATTATACCTATAAAGTCATGTGTCATTCTTCTGGATACAGCTTCTTTTCTGCATTTCTCCGTAGAGCTTCCAGCCTTTTACTTGCCTTTATGTTCCTGTGTGTCTCTGGGGACATCAGGAAGATCAATAAGGAGTCACTAGAAGTTTGTGGGTTTTTTTCTCCTTATGCTTATTCCAGCTCAACTGAGCTGTGATCCATCTGTTCAGCAGGGGGTTGTTTCCCTGAGAGGTGGATGAAAGTGTCTAAGTCAGTGATGGTGGATTGGGAAGGAGTCAGAGGACATGGCAAGGGCAGTGGCAGCCTTGTGCCTTTGATGGAGAGAGCACATCCATCATAGCCAAAGGGGTTCACATCTTTAGGTGCTTCTGGTGAGTGATCCATAACCACTTGTCTCTGCTCAGGATGCAGAGACTTTTCTTCTGGATGCCCACATCATCCCCAGCTTCCCAGGCATTTACCTTAAAATTAGACTGTGGAGACAGAACATAATGTTTGGAGATGTAGGTTGATGCAAAGTGCAACAACTTGTTTCCTGCTGAGTACAGAGGGAACCAGGGTTTGGGGATCTTTTGGTGAAGTTGGTTTTGTCTGCAGCTGAGGACTAGCCTGCCTGAGCTCCTGCTGCCATTCCCTGCCACATCTGTGGTCATCAGCAGCACTCCTGTTGGAGCCCCTTACAAAAACAGACAGGGCAGTGCTGGCAGCATGTTCCCACCAGCAGTGCCAAGACTCTGGAGCTGCTCTCTGCACCCACTGGCTGTGAAGTGGTCCAAATCTGGGGATATTCCAGGAATGCTGCAAAACCCACCTGTTCAGGAAGGTCTTTGGAGGGAGCTGGGTGTTGGCTTCCCGAAGCTGGCAGCTGGTGCAAAGGAGTGTTCTTCTAGGAGAGAGACTTGCTGAGTTCCTTCTGGAATAATTATTAAATGCTGGTAGGGCTTTGCTGTATTAGTAATTACATGTCAAAGCACCTGAAGCTTGTCATTCTTAAAAATCAAACCGTCCATGATTCCTAAAGAGCTGGAGCCTGGGTAATAGTGGAAGGGAAGTTTTGCAAAGTTGTAAAGAGCTGCTTTGCTCAGACTTTTGGAAATCTCTGGGAAAAATTTCTCAGCTCTGTCCATCACCCTCTGAGCTGGGAAATGGGCCCGAAATAGTACTGAAGCAGCTATCTAAGCAAAGAAGTGGGATGATGGATGCTGTGCCCTTTTCAAACGATGGTTTGTAAGGCATTTGAGGATTGTTCTTCAGAGACCATTAAAAAGGAGCTTTAGAGGAGGAGAGACAAGTTGTGTGGCAGGAGGATCGAGAAGGATGTGTGTGTGCTGCGTGGTGTCATAGATCAGAACGATACCAACCTTTTGAAACTAATTGCAGCAACTAACAGTTACGAGCTGTGCTTACCTGTCTCCCTTGTATGTCTTAGGCAGCTGCTGCTCTGATATTTAATTACCTTTAGAATTGGCTGTGTAGATTGTTTTGGGGACAAAAAAAAGGAATAAATGCTTTTGCATGCTCGAACTGGAGATTTTGAGGGAAGGCATGAGATCTGGAAATGACTGGATAGATGTTAGCATGCTGTATGGGATGTGGCTGTTATTGGTGGGAACGTTAGTGGGAACAGAAGGAAAATGTGCACTTGGATACCATGGCCAAGGCTTTGCCGTGGTCTCTGTGCTCAGCAGAGATGTACAAGCCCTCTGTGATTCCTCCAGCTGCATCACAGCAGCAGCACTTCAGAGGAGGGGCAGATGCACAAAGCTTATCTGGTTACATCTCAATAGAGCTCCCGCTCGATATTGATATGAGCTTTGAAGCTCTCCAGCCACCGTGCATAAATGTTTCAGGGGTAAGATGCGCTCTGAACACAGAGCTGTGTCTGACTCATCCCAAGAAAGCAGCCCCTCCTGCCTGGCAGCTCTTCTTTTCCAGATTTTGTATTCTCTTTCTTCTGTCGCCGCTGGTTGTGCACCTTGTACCATCAATAATCAGCTGGAATATGCAGATGGAGTTGTTTGCCTGTAAAAAAAAAAAAAATCTAATTTTTGCTTAACTCCCTTTCAGTTACATAACTAATTTTCAATACTTAACAGGGTAAGCCACACCCAGAGTGCTGTGCAGGTGGCCTGGTCTGGCTACCACAAGCAACAGCCCATCTGGCCAACCTGAGTGGTTTTAGGTGGGAGACATTCGTGTTGTCCTTGCATCAGAAGAGAGATGCTCAGTTGCAATTGCAACACTTCTGATTATTGCTCGAAGTAGTGATAGTGAGCAAAAGCTCTTGGTTTCCCTGTGGCATCTCTACACTTTCCTGCATTCTGTATCCAAACAGGAACTCCTGGCTCCTGCTGCACCATCTTGCAGTGAATTAGAAGGGATTTCTCTGCATTGCTTGTCACCAGCGTTCATCAGGGGGGATACCTAGGAGCAAAGTCTGGCTAAACCAGAGCACAGTGCTTTTCTACAGCCCAGCTTGTATTACACCTGAACTTCAAACCATCCTCCCTTAACATTACACCTTTTGTCAGCTGCTGATATTAAACTTGCCTCTAATTTCTTTGAGAGTGGAACAGGACAAATAAACCATAGATGCTAACGGCCAATTATTTAATTATATTTTTTCCTGCTGCTCCAGGTCACAGACTCAGACTATGAGGACGAGTTGCCAAAGCACTCCTTTGTGAACCACTACATGAGCGACCCCACCTACTACAACTCGTGGAAGCGGCAGCAGAAAGGGGTGAAGCACCCGGCGTCCTACAGATACGAGGAGTGCACCGCCAGCGAGACAGAACCCTATTTCCAGACTGTCATCACGACACAGAGCTCAGGAGGGGTGTACACCCCCACGGGACAGCCCGCGCCCGGCTCCCGGACTCCAGTGACAGGGTTCTCCTCCTTCGTCTGAGCCGGGGCTGGGGGACACGGCCGAGCCACGGGTGACACCCGGGGGGACCCGTCGCAGGGACTGTGTGCGCGTGACCGGGGCGGTGAACTGGGGGTGACTCCTCTATCAGGGTAGAAACGGATGGGAACACACGTGAGGCTGGGTTGGTGTTTCGTTTTTTTTTCCTGAAGACAATCAACTCTAAAAAAAAAGAAAAAAAACCACGAAGCTGAACGAGCTGAACGTTTGTTTTAAAAAAAAAAAAAAGACAGAAAGGAATTCTGAAAAGCGATGATTTTAACCACTTGTGAATAGTAGGGGTTTTTTAACCGCTTTTTGTAACACTGCTTCAGGAAGCAGCTCCCACGCCCTTCTCTTCCCTCTTTCTTTCTCTCCCGTCCTTCTGTCCCACCGTTCCCAAACAAGCAGGTGAATTCCCTAGATGCAATGAGTGACTTCGTGATGTGATTTGAAGAGAAAACATAAAACCTTCCAGGCTCCTTTTTCTTCCTTTTTCTCTACTCTTTTTTATTTCTTTTTCTTTTTTCCTCTTTAAATTTTTCCCTTTCATCAAGGTCAAGTAGAAAAACATAGAAAAGGGACAAATTTTTAGGTGAAAAGCAGACACCTCCTCTCTCCTCTTCTCCTTGCTGCTCCCCACATTAGGAGCACTGGCTGATCAACGTAGGCTCAGATGTGTCACTCTGCTCTAGCTCACTACTGGTGTGTTTATACTGAATAACTGACCTGCTTTTCTTTCTTCTTCAAATGGGACCTGCTGCATTCTTTAAATATTCCAACTCCAGGGCCTTTGGAAGAGAAGATGGCTCAAAAGAGCACTGTAGGCAGCGGTGGGTGAAGCAAATGGGAAGAATTCAGATGCAAGGTCAGTTTATTTTTGGCGTGGCTCTAATCCTCCCCTGTGGACTGCGTGTACCATTTGAATCAGTCATTTTTTAAAAGTCAAAGGACACAACCCAGCAAGCCAGAGGAATTTTTCAATTAAAATTGCAGTGACAAGCTAGAGAGTCTACTAATTGATGAGGGGTTTGATCATCAAAGTTATCCTGCCCTGCCAACAGAAGTTGAGCATCCTTTCTCACCCAGACACTGCAGTCCTGTTTACTGGTCTGTAAAAAGTACACAGTGGCAGGGTTTGTTTGATTTTATTTCTTTTAGTACAAAGACACATCACACAGACTAGGAGAGTTTTGGTGTCCACAGGTGCCTTTTATTGATTCTTCAGCTTCGTATCTGGGAGAAGCAACAACATATCTCCAAATAAAGCTAACCAGGTTTTTCAGGCATTAGGGTCATGAATTACCTTGTGCATGTTTACAGCCTGTTTGTGCACTTGAAACTGTGGCCCTTGGAAAGAAGAGAGGGGAGTTTTAGTTTATCTCCGATCCTTTTGTACAGCTCACTTTTTGTTTTTTTTTCTTTTCTATCCTTTTCCCGAGTCTTTCGTGTTTTAGCAGCAAGTTATTCACTCACAAGGAAGTTGTCAGAATCCAAGGCCAGTCCTTGGACCTGAACAGTCCTGGTTCACCAGACTTTTTATCACAAGGGTTTCAAAGGTGAATTTGGAAGGAGGCGAGTCCTTGCCACTCCAGCATCTGGCATTTCCTTCCAGGTGGATCAGCCAGAAAAATTGGTGCTTGCTAAAGTCCCATCAGGGCACATGTGGGCACTGTTACTGTTGAAAATTGCCCCTGTCCTCTCTAGGGATGTTGTTTTATCTCATCTGGGGATGCAGGACATCTGTGGCAGGGGGCGGTGGTGTCTTCAAGGCAGGTTGTTGAAACCAACCTGCCCATGAGGCCTGGTTGGAGTATCCTGGTGGCACCTCACCAGAACAGTGAGGTTCAAGGGCAAGCTCAGCCTTGCTGTCACCTTTCAGTGCCTCTTGGACAGGGCAAAGGATCTCAGAACTGCTTTTACTCTTTGGCACTGCCTCTGAGCACTGCTGCTCTTGGTGCATGCAGATTCTGGATAGCTTTGGCACTGGGTTGCTGTTCCTCTCCAAAGGCTCCAGAAAGAAAAAGTCCAAAACCAAAAACTCCAGTGGGTGTGTTTAAGGGCTTTTGAGTTTGGGATAATGATCCGCAGCTCATTAGATGGCAAGGGATGCACAAAGACAGGGGCTCGAGCCAAAACCCTGTGAGTCATCCCCCTCTCTGCACCTGGGTAGGATGTGTGTGGGATGGAGAAGGGGCTCCAAAGAGGATGACTTGGAGTTTGCTGTGAAGAGGAATGCAAAGCAAACAAAAAACCCACTGCCTTCTGTGCACTTTGACTGTTCTCTTAAGCCATATGGACTTTGCTTTAATTACTGAACTGCCAAAATTTGTTTGCAGTCTGAGTTTTTTGTTTCTTAGACAAAATTATCTACGTGGCTTTCTGTTTCGTTTTCTTTTTCCTTTGTTATTTCATGCATCAGATTACGTATTTTAAATGCCTTGGTTTTATACATTTGACATAGCAGTGCAATTGCTCTTGGAGTTTTAATGGCGCTTATCCAACAGGTAGGAGAGGTAGTGCTGCAGGAGGAGCCTTTCAAGGACCACTAAGTACTTCGGGATATAGATTAGTAGGAAGCAGATCAAACACTGAAGAGTTTGCTCCAAAGGAAAGCATAGTGTGAGTAGCTCCATATCTCCTGAATATTGCCAGATCAGAATTGGTGTAAGGTGCAGTTACTCCCTGGGGCTGATCTGATACCACATTGAGCAAAAACAAAGCAAGAAAACCACGGGGAGTAAAGGAAATGGACTTTGTGGCCACTGCTCTGCTGAAGGACAACATGGGGAACAGCATTATCTGTACAAAGCAAGGAGAAGAGACTGTTCCTTTTTCCTCAGAACCAGCTGCAAGTAAAAAGCCTGAGCTTGCTGAGGACCTGCTGAGTTGGCTGTATGGCTCTTTTCTTCTGACTGCTGCCGAAATAACAGGTTACGTGTGATTCCTTTAGGACCTGTTGATCCAAACAACGGTGTTTTGTTCCGTTCTCATCCACACTGTTGTCGCTCTCGGTTATGTTTTGTTTAGGAGTTGGCTGTTCTGACATGGGGGTTTATTTTCAATAGGCAGTTGCAGAGCGTGGAGGTGCAGTGCCCTGCTCAGCCCTGAGCTGAGCACAGGACAAGTGTTCTGCTGCCCAGGATCCTGGGTAGCTACATGGATGATGCCTATGTCTCCTTGCTGATGTGCTGTACTTGTAAAATATGGTTAATGGGTAGGTTTTATTTGCTTCAGATATCAGGTAAATTGTTTTATCTGGAAGGACACACTCCATCAGTTAGCAAGAAAGCTCTATTTCACAGCTGCAATCTTTGGGAATTGCAGCCTTGAAATACGACTTTTAAACATTAGTTGTCATGTTCCAGTAACTTCACCCATCAAATCCACTTCCATTTCCATCTTCCTGTTTGGAACAGTCTTGAAAAATGAAGGCTTATATTTAAAACGCATTCTTAGGATGGTTTATTTTTATTTATTTATTTACCTTCCCCTTTCTCAGGTCTCTTGATGGCTGTTACTAAAAAGTAAAAACAGCATCATGAAATGGCCAAGGGAGACATTTCAGCAAACAGTTTAACAGGAGCTTGTTTTTCATGCAATAGCCATAGCAATATCCAATTTCCTGCAGGAAAAAAGTGCCCAAGTCTTCACCCTCTCCCAGGGCTGAGATGACACCAACCACCACTGTCAGCAGTGCTCCCAGCACCTTGTCCCTGTCATAAATCACGTGCAAAAGTGCACCACGTGGAGGAGCTGTACTGTTCCAGCCCACTCCAAGTGGAGCATTTTATCCCTCAGTACTCCATATCAGACCTGTTGTGTTCCCACCACAGCCCACACCCTTGGGTGGAGCGTTTTCCATTCCCACCTTTTCATGCTCCGATGCTGGTGCAGGGCCAGCACTGTGGGTGCAAGTGGCAGCGGTGACAAGGGACAGGAGAGGGCACTCTCTTGCTTTCATCTCTGACAGTCTCTTTTTCCCTACCCTGGGAGTCAGAAATGCCTTCGTGGGGAGGGCAGGGAGAGGTGAGAGCACAGAGCAAAGGGTTTCATCAGTGTTTACTTAAGGAATCACACTGTGGCCAGCAATCCCACTTTTACTAGAAGTTGGCATTACTGGAGAGAAGAAAGAAAAACATACCCAAAAAAAACCCCGAAACAGAACAAAACTATTACCCAAAAGGATTTTTTCCTCTTCATTTTGAGTGTTAAAACCAGTGATGTTTTGCAGATGGGCCAAGATCTCATTTTTCCTACTTATACCCAGGTCTCTGCCAGAAACTGCTGTAGCAATTTTTTAGACTAAATATCGAAGCCTATCTTGACATGGAGATACATTTATTATCTTTGTCATTGCTTCCCTCAAGAAATCCATTGGGTCATCCAAAGATTATCCAATCTGCTTTCCAAAAAGGGAGGAGAGAGAGACGTTTTTGCATGCAGAGCACCGATGTCTTTTCCCACTCACTGCTTTCAGATAAGCAGGCAACTTGTTTGAGAAAAATCCTTTTAAAAAAGGAATTTGTCGGGAAACTTTAAAAAAAAAAAAAAAAAAAAAAACAAACCACCAGACAGGAAAGATAACCTTTGGCAGAGTCATTAGAAATCCTGAAGTCTAGAAACCTGGGACATGTAAGACTGCCCATGATGCCAAGACCTCCTGTCTTTACTGATCTCCTGTATCAGTAGCAGCCAGAAGGGCACACACACAGTGAGGGGTGTTATTTGGAGAGGAAAAGCCATCACAGAACATCATGGGCAGGTTATACTGCAAACAGCTTCCCTCAGCCTGGAGTTCCTGCTAGTTCAGTCACATTCCCTAGGTTGTTTTTATAGGTTTTTGCCAGCTCGTGTGGAATCCACACATCATCATGGCATTACTAGAGGTGGGGAAGGTGTGTTGGTGTGGCATTTAGACAAATCCCCACATGTGATTATGTGGTTGTTTGTACAGTACCCATTGAAACCTTCTTATAGAAACTACCCCTGGATTTAGGAGCACTGAACATGTTGGGTCTGAAATGGCTCCACCTGACAAGTCATAGAATCCTAGAATGGTTTGGGTTGGAAGGGACCTTAAAGATCATCTCATTTGAATCCCCCTGCAATGGGCAGAGACAACTTCCACTAGANATTTCTTTTTCTTTTTTCCTCTTTAAATTTTTCCCTTTCATCAAGGTCAAGTAGAAAAACATAGAAAAGGGACAAATTTTTAGGTGAAAAGCAGATCTCTCCTCTTCTCCTTG